GAAGCATAACTCTATCCAAAGTAAATACATAGTTATTGCCCTTTGTTACTTTTCCATTGCTTTTTGCTTGTCTGGAGCATAACTTGAAAACCACTGGTTGGAATTCAATACAACTTCATACAATGGTCAAGCACATTGAGAGGAAGTGTGGTGCACAAGAACCATAACTCCATTTTGACTAATTACATAGTTATTGCCCTTTGTTACTTTTCCTTGTCCAGAGCATTACTTGAAAACTACTGGTTGGAATTCAAAACAACTTCATACAATTGTCAAGGACAATAAGAGGAAGTGCAGTGCACAAGAACCATAACTCTATCTCAAGTAATAACAGAGTTATTGCCCTTTGATATTTTCCCTGTCCGGAGCATAACTTGAAAACCACTAGTTGGAATTCAAAACAACTTCATACAATGGCCAAGCACAATAAGGGGAAGTGCAGTGCACAAGAACCATAACTCTATCTAAAATAATTACATAGTTATTGCCCTTTGTTACTTTTCCATTGCTTTTTGCTTGTCCGGAGCATTACTTGAAAACCACTAGTTGGAATTCAATACAACTTCATACAATGGTCAAGCACATTGAAAGGAAGTGCGGTGCACAAGAAACATAACTACATTTTGACTAATTACATAGTTATTGCCCTTTGTTACTTTTCCTTGTCCAGAGCATAACTTGAAAACCACTTGTTGGAATTCAATAAAACTTCATACAATTGTCAAGGACAATAAGAGGAAGTGCAGTGCACAATAACCATAACTCTATCTAAAGTAATTATAGAGTTATTGCCCTTTGTTACTTTTCCATTGCTTTTTTATTGTCCGGTCAGCATAACGTTAAAACCACTAGTTGGAATTCAATACAACTTCATACAATGGTCAGGCACTTTGAGAGGAAATTCAGTGCACAAGATCCATAACTCCATTTTTATTACAGAGTTATTGCCCTTTGTTACTTTTTCCTTGTCCAAAACATAATTTGGAAACTACTGGTTTGAATTCAAAAAAACTTCATACAATGGTAAAGCACAATAAGAGGAAGTGCAGTGCACAAGAACCATAACTCCATGTAAAGTAATTATAGAGTTATTGCTCTTTGTTATTTTTCCGTCCGGAGCATAACTTGAAAACCACTTGTTGGAATTCAATAAAACTTCATGCAATGGCCAAGCAAATTGAGAGAAAGAGCAGTTCTCAAGAATCATAACTCTTTCTGGACTTATTACAGAGTAATTCAATAAAACTTCATCAATGGTAAACCAAAGTGAAAGGAAATGCAACGTACAAGAACCACAACTATCTTAAATTGCCGACAACCATAACTCTATTCAAATTCTTTTACAAGGTATTCTGTTACTAGTAACCTTCTCATTTCCGAAGCAGTCTTGCGGGGGTATTAATCACATTTAGTGAAAGTTCTAGTTATGATAATTGTTATATTAATAATAATCATGGTAAAAATAATAATTTTAATGATGTTCATGTATCAAGATTGATAAGTTTATAATAATTGCAACATTTTTTTTTTATTTTAGAATGGTGCTTTTAAATGAAGAAATACAAAAAACAAAAGCAGAGAGGGGAAAACAGTAAATCACTTAATAGAGAAAGAAAGCAGAAAAAACTATGTTCCCACTCAAAAAAGAAAGAGCACTGGTGAAGAAAATGTAGAGAGAACTACATGAAACATTATAACAATACAACAAATTTGTGTAAAGAAGGCAGAAATAAAGCTAATAAAAGTAAAAAAAAAAAGAATTCTTGTTCATTTTCAGTGGAAAAACATAATATTTTATTTTCCATAACATATGTTCCGTTACAGATATCTTTTCCTGCACTTCTCACTAAATTAAACTGTTGTTGTGATCTTTAATTGATACAGTGCTTTATGATTGATGTTGTTTGTCATGATACCACATTTACATTGTTTAAGTTATTTTAAGAGTGAAAATATTGAGTTCTAAATCCTATGTTTTATAATTATTCACCTATGTTCCGTAAAAGATCGTAAGGACTGTTTGATGAACATTTGTGAAGCGAAATCTGTTTGGTAACGTTACACCGATTAAAGTTATGCTTTACTTGTTTTCTGCTTCTATTTTAGATATAATTCGATATATTTTATGGCAGTTTTTGTTTGTGCATTATATCGAAACAGTGTCAATCTTTAGTTACGAAAATATTTGCTTATACAAGCTTTTCAAATACAAAGTATACAAGTTTTAGAAGAAGATATGGCATAAAATATTTTTGCTAAAGGTAACCATTGGTCTTCAACTTAACAATGCATATTCTTTTGTATTGTTTAATTAAAAATGTTAGTACGAGTAAACAATACCTCCAAAGTAATTCCGATGGTTAATATATGTTCCGTAACAATGTATTTAAGTAACAAAAATGCTTCAATTATAGGAGAATGGCTGAATTGTCATCAAACTTGGCCAGGATGCATGTCTAGGTAATTGTCCGGATGAGTTCGAACATGGGTCATCTCGGATGAAAAACTAGGTCACAGGAGATGAAAATAGAAAAACCTTGTTAACTTTCTAGTGGTCACATTTTTGCATCAAACTTTGTCAGGATGCTTGTCTAGGTGATAGCTTGGATGAGTTCGAACATGGGTCATCTCGGATGAAAAACTAGGTCACAGTAGCTAAAAATAGAAAAACCTTGTTAACACTCTATTTCTAGGTCAAGTTGAATATGTGTCAAAAACTAGGTCACACTGCTGAAATATGGATAATCCTTGTCATAGAATGTTATGACTCTAGTGGTCTTCAGATAGCATGATCGTTTTTTTTAATCACACAGACACAGTTGCTATAGTAACTAAAATTTTATTTTCTTGATTCCAAAGTTAACATTATAACACATAATAAACAGACTTCTTTAAGAATATGAAGGAAATCTTAAGAAGTAATATGATCCAATGCCTAAACAACTACATGTATTGTGTGAACTAAGGATGTAGATCAATGTGGAAACGAGTAAATTTTTTAAATAATCTGTTTACGTAATGTATAGTGATATATTTGTTCTATTTAATATTTGTGCTCCTCTTTGTTCTTGTAATTCTTTACCTTTCTGTATTTTATATACCTTTTTAATATTCAGTGATTAAGTGTTAGGTTCAAGGCTAATTTCGGTGCGTCCGTGGCCGAATGGTTAAGAACGTTGACTTCAAACTACTTGCCCCTCACCGCTGTAGGTTCAAATCCCAACAGGGACTTCGGATTATTTCATGTGAGGAAGCTATCCAGCTAGCTTACGGAACGTCAGTGGTTCTTTTCCGGTGCCCGTTCGTGCCTGAAATAATGCACGGAAGGGCACCTGAGGTCTTCCTCCACCAGTAAAGCTGGATCGTCGCCGAATGACCTATACTGTGTCGTTGTGACGTTAAACCCAAACAAACAAGGCTAATTTCAATGCCAAAGGGATGATTCTAACACTATCGGAAATTTTCCTATATAGACAAAGAAGGCCGGAAGCGTGCATTATTCTACAACAATGCACTCGCCGTTCTTATTATCTCCCTGTGTTTTTTCAGATTGAGGGCGCCATTTCGTTTGAAAAATCTGATACATTAAAACAATTTTGTGTCGAATTTTGTTGTAAAAACTATCTAGAATAAAAGAAAATGGTCTAACTAAGGAAATGAATCCGAACACCAATATCTTTAATTCAGTCGTTAACGCTGTACAGACGTTTAAAGTGTTGTTTACGTGACGTCACAATGTAGCGCCAAACAGCACGTGCAAAACAATCAAATCAAGTACCCTATTTTAATGTCGCAAACGAGTTAAGTTTTACATTTATTTAACTTCTAGTAATTTTTTTTCGCTTGAAAAATTTTAGAGTGAAATAAAATAAACAAACAAAGTTTTATCAACATTTTCAAAATCCGTTATTCTCAAAATGTTTCTACACACGGTAGTTTTTTCAACTTACTGGAATATCCGTTAAAGAACGTTTCTATTGGAAACTCTGAGGCGAAAACAAATTTAACCACCAAACATAAAGTCCAACTTTATTTTTCTTGACGTGTTAGAATGGAAATAGATATTAATTCTTCGTGCATTATTGTATAATAATGCACGTTTTTGTATAATAATTGCATTATTGTATAATAATGCACGTTTTTCGTTCAAATGCTTTGTAATTAATCACTCAGGCCTGTCGGCCTTCGTGATTATATTACTACGCATTTGAACTCAAACCGTGCATTATTCTACAACAATGCACTCATAATTGATATCTATTTCCTAAATAAACATCTCGCGTATGACGACCGGCCCATATTGCAGTTAATCTTCCCAGGAAGTGAGGGCCGTGGGGCATAACAGTAACATAAACCAAAACTATACCCTTTTCAGTCATTGTTGTATTAAAATATGTAGGAATTGTGCTAATTTTTATGGTCAAATATTTTTTTCTTGAAAATAAAGCAAAGTGTTTTCACGTAAAGTAAACATAATTTATTTCATAATAATTATGTGATGCAAATGAAAGTTGACATGACATGCGGTCGTGAACTTTGTGTTAAATGAACGTCAAAATGATTTAAGCAGCGGGTGCTTCGGTGGCTGCATCAGCCGGGGCCTCCTCGGCGGTCACTTCACAAGCAGGGTTGTTCTCCCATTCAGCGACGCCTTCAGGAGCGCCTACAAACTCTACATTTTTCTGCACACTATACAGAGAAAAAATACAAATAAAATCTTGAATACACCATATCATATCAAAATCTCAAATATTTAACGAACTAAGTGGCATCTAGAGATAATTTAAATGTGATATTTAAGTATTTCAATGATTGTTTGTCAAAGATGTTAATGTATAATCTAAGCGGTAGCTGTCACACTTAAACGAGAGCATCTAATGAGAAATAAACAGACCCACAGATGTGCCCACAGATGATGGAGGAATAAGAAGAATATTGCACAAAAAACAATTTGTTGTAAACAGAGGAAACTACACATATAATTATAGTTGTGATATTACCTCTAGCAACATTCCTTTCTCGTCGGGAGTATCACCACAATGACATTTTTCTGCCGTACACCTCTGACTCGGAACCCGCCGGCATAAATTTGTCGTACAACATGCAACCTAAAATCAGCAAACATTTTTAGTTTAGTGAAATGTTACTGTAGAATAATTCTTCAACATGAAACTAATGATTTTAGCAGATATAGAAAAGTTCTTAATTAACAAACATTTTAATAATGTTACTGTTATCCTGTCGTGCACATATGCAACGGTCTTTAATTTTGACATATTTACACATTAAAATTGTCATTTTAAATATCGCTATTCATAAGCTATCTTTATATCATTTTCTAATGAAAATATGTAATAATTACTTATTTACAGATTATTATAATTTTATATTGCGTTATATATTTATTTTTTTAATTTTCTAATATTGTGTGCAATATGATAAAACGTACGTACCCTCTGTGCATGCACCATCAATGCAAATACTTCCACAAGGGCAATCTCTGCAAAATAAAATATGGCATAATTATGCATGGTGATATTTAATAGATCTTATTTATGAATAACAATTCTGTTCTCTCCAGTTACCTCTCTGCCGTGGGTTCGATCCCCGGGAGATGCTTTGGTAGTTTAGCGCGGAGGAAGGTAGTCTAGTACTGGTGTAACTCTCCAAGAACGATGGTTAGGAAACTACCCGCCTATATGACTGAAATACTGTTGGAAAAAGGTGTAAAATGAAACAAACAAACAAACAAAACATCTGTTTTCTCCTATGTATCTATATATGTCTCTTTACCGGGCGGTCAGTATCCACAAGATATAATCACTCGTATCGAATATAGAAATATGAACGAATGATCTGGATATGAAATTCAAATTTAGATCATCATCGCTTAACCTACTGTATAAGCTGTGGGAAAATTATACTTTGTATTCTTACTTAACTCTTTCTGCTTTTCTTAAATGAGACTTTTTTCAAAGATATAGCTTCAAGGACATGATTTACTTTAGATGGTTAGGAAACTACCCGCCTATATGACTGAAATACTGTTGGAAAAAGGTGTAAAATGAAACAAACAAACAAACAAAACATCTGTTTTCTCCTATGTATCTATATATGTCTCTTTACTGGGCGGTCAGTATCCACAAGGTATAATCACTCGTATCGAATATAGAAATATGAACGAATGATCTGGATATGAAATTCAAATTTAGATCATCATCGCTTAACCTACTGTATAAGCTGTGGGAAAATTATACTTTGTATTCTTACTTAACTCTTTCTGCTTTTCTTAAATGAGACTTTTTTCAAAGATATAGCTTCAATGACATGATTTACTTTAGAATAATTCGCCAGGTATAGCTTTATACCCCCAATCTTTATGGCATTAAGTAGCATACATTGTAGGCGCACATTTGACTCGGGGGGGGGGGGGCACATTTGTCTTACGTAAGACCGATGCGGTCGCATTTGTCCCATATGAGACAAATGGGACTTCAAATGTATGCCCCAAAAAACTCGTGTGACAAATGTGCTCCGATCAAGTTTTTAAGGGACAAGAAAGCACATTTGTCTCATGTGTTTTAAGGGACAAGAAAGCACAATTGCCTCGTGTCATTTTTGTATTTTCTGATCGCAAGATCAGTAAATACATAGCTAACATCCACGGTCTAACACAAAATTTCCTAACAGACCTAACAACGCAAAGTAGTTCTCACTCAAAACTACTTAAAAACCAGCAATTTAAAAGACAAAATAATTTTTAATGTAGGCATTTAACGAATTACAGTGCATTGAAAGTTCAGATTAGTCAATAGAAATATGAGGTTACAATCACAAATTTCGCGGATGAATATCATTTTAATCAATGAAAATGCTATTTTAGCTATGTTGATTACTGAATACTCCAGGGCGTAGTACACAAATAAATCTGACTGCCGAGTAGTGGAATATATACATGTCGGACTGTTTTGGCGAGAAGATTTTCGCTAAATTATTTTTATCAGTGTTAAACAGGTTTATCGTGAACAAAATACCTCGAAAATTGATAAGGATTACAAACACGAAATGGAAATTCTCAATTTAGAAATTACAATCTATTTGTTTTTATTCAGGCCACATATTACGTATTACTTCACCGTGGTGCAGGGGTATCGCGCTCGTTTAGGGTGTGAGAGGCCTAAGGTTCAAAACCTAGTCGAGGAGGTGTCTTTTTTAAGGAAGTAGCCACGATATGCAAGGATAAAGTGTGGTTGTAAATAATTTTTTGATGCAACTCTAGTCATGCAAAATTCCATATGTACCAATCTCAAACTGTTATAGAAAAAAAATCTTAACGCAGTCGCTGCGTAAGATGAATTATAGTATATAGAATAAACTTATATAGGAAAATACATACAGATAGTCAGTATGATTTAGATTGCAAAGATCAGAAAATACCACAGAGCTTGCAGCCCTTTGATTATGAATTATTTGTCGGTATAATATTTTTTAGAATCGAGGTTCGCCGTTTTACCTCAAGTCAAGTGTAATCATCAATAGGTTTATGATATCTTAAAACCTACAGTGGAACAATTAATTATAATATCTCTTATTCAAGAAATTTGACTGGCTGAACCTGAAGGCGTACACCCCGTTCACGACGATACAGTGGTGAAAGCGCGATGGTACGATGATGAAAACTTGATGTACCATCGTAGTATTGCTCTTTCATCAGTGTACCATCGTGCATAGCGGTTCAGGGAGACAATCTGTTACTTATGTCCAAACGGAACACCGTAATCAATCGATATAATTTAAACAATACAATATCGTGGCTCGTTTCGCATCTCGCGTCTCGTTTCCCATCTTGTACGTCGACGCGAGACAAGAAAATCCTTCGTGACCATAAACCGCTAAATAGTATTCCCTCGTGAAATATACCTTTTGGTGCTCACTCGGTGAAATATATTCCGATCTTACACTGAACTAAACATATATTCTCTATATCTTCTAAGAAACAGTTCTAGCGTCACATTTGTAACAGTAAAATCACTTAAAAAAATCACACTGCTGTGACGTGGGAGAACCACCAATACTAAAATTAAAACTCATTTCATCAGATACAACCTTTGCTCGCATTTTTCTACCAAAATGTCAAAAACATATTCATGATGAAATTGAAACAGAAAACAGCTTAAATTTAGACGTCTGTTCCATGCAGATAAAAAAAAGTGTCCAATAACCTGTCCAATGCCAGATGGCTCCGGCACTGTTTCCTTTACCATTACCAGGCCTTTGAGAAGCACAAGTTTACACGAAGCGATGCGCGATATTTTACCGAAAGACACGAAAAGCGAGATTCCGGCAAAACATGAAGCGAGGCACGATATTCTACCGTGAAATATTGTGGTAAGGATACTTCGATATTGCGAGATCTCGTGTTACAATATCGTGCCTGCCTTTGTGCTTCGTCTGAATGTCCGTCTCGCCCGATTCTGCGAGGCCTAATGTTCCATGATTATGGCATCACCCGGATTCTTTTAGGAACTGATGCACGTTGTAAGTGCTTTTTCAATCAGCAATTCTCGGAAAATGGCAATATTTTTAAAAAACAAAACAAAATACGTGTGGAATGTTCTTCTCATTTTCTTCCTTACATCATTTAGGGGCCTCCGTGACCGAGTGATTTCAAAAAACAACTTGCCCCTAAACGCTGTAGGTTCAACACTCGCTTCGAGAGGCGTCGAACCATTAATGTTAGGAAGCCTGTTCAGGGTCCAAATGCGGAATACCTATCCGCATGCGCACGTAATAGTATCGCATGGCCACGTAATAACTATCGCGTGCGCACCTAATAGAAATTCATATGTCCCCTTTATGTCACCGTAGATACTACCTAGTTGCTTAGAATATTTCTTAAATCATTTAAGCATCGGAAAGAAACGTGTCACAATAAATAACGATAAGAATGAACTCGCTGCATATGTGTTTGGGTTGTGGTAGAAATTTTCATTGTGACATGCAGAACAAAGATATTCTTTAAGTTAATATTTGACTATCGTGCAGTGGCAGGCAGTTTTTGATTGACCGGAAGTGACCTAAAACGGTATTAGAAATATAGAATACACAGAACATTGGTTGGAAGCTTGTATACGGACGGGCATAATTATTACCTTTTTAGAATTTTATTGAAGAATGGGAGACAAATATACTTCGAGTGTCCTTTCTATTGTGTGTCGAACACACCTGTCTCATTTCCAATTTGTCGCAAACATGAATTTTTCCGAGCACATCGGTCACACCTCGTGAGACAAATGTGCTCCGAGAAAAATGTGCTCCTACAATGCATTGTCCACCATGGGGCGTAATCATACGAAACTAAAATTACATGTCCGATTGAACAGTGTTCACCATCCGCTTCTTGAGTGGATATATTTTGACCACTAGCCAAATTTATAATGCATTTACTTACTTAAGTTCGGTGCAGGAATTGTCTTCATCCTCATCAGCAACAACAAAAGCAACAGCAACAACAAACAACAATACGAGTGTTAAACGTACCATCTTTATCTCAAAGGTATTACTGAATTTATAGAAAAATAAAATGTGTGAAGAAAATATGTCAATTTTGTAAAAAAATGAAAGTATTTGTTGTTTAAGGAGTTTTATTTCATGCTCTCCAGTGTTTTATTGTAATATATCAGATGATTATATTATGATAAATCACTAGTGAAATTTATAAAAGTAGAAAATCATAACTAAATGTAATGTAAATAATAAATGTAATAACAGGCAGAAATAAAAGCCGTCGAACGTAAATTTTGCTTCTTTAGGAAAAGAAAGTCGATGTCATCATACATCATGTTAAAAATGTAACAAAATTAGAGAACTGTAACAGAACTATATTTCAAAATTGATGATATGACGTCACAAAGGAGAATGCCCGACGTTACGCGGCAAAAGCAGTTAAAAAAATACTTAAAATCACTTAAAAGGCATGAAATAAAAAGAAAATTTATTTGTTTTACATATAAGATTGGAAAATATTTCATTCGTTTACACCAGCTATTCTATTTTTACTCGTGGCTACGCCACTCGTGAAAATACTGCATCTCGTGTTGACTCAGTGAAATTATATTTCAATCTTGCATGCAAAACAAACAAATATCCTCTATGTTATACATTTGTGAATCGGAAAGAGCAGAGCATATTTGAGTTAAAAAATTCTATCCCACAACAAACGCAAATAAATGCATAAACATGCATCAACAATTTACGTTCTATATTAGAAATTTTCTGAAATTTATATTTCTCATAAAGTATTTCATTTAATGTAAAGTAAGAAAAATGCTCCAACGTTCATACTAGTATGTTTTACAAAAATTGAAAAGTACCTACATGTAATCTGAACGATCGTCAACTGAATATTGCTTATATTCAAATGTGTAGATCGAATAGAAACCATTTACTTATATAGTAGATACTTGTTGGACTTCCAAAACCTGTTTCACCATTATGCTCCCGCCCATATGTGGCTTAGCAGCAACAGCTGTATCCATCACCTATATAATACATTAAACAACATGTGGCACAAAACTGCACCTTTCCGTACACCCCAGTCAAAATTATAATTATATGGCTCTGCTATGTAGATGATCACAGTATGTTCATCATATATGACAAGCGTACGTTAAAAATTTCTGTAATCTGACCTCACATATAATATTTTGATTATAACATAATGTACGTATGCTAGGTAGGTAGGACATGTATATTAATTTTATTATACATGTATATTGCATTATTTACAAATTGTGTCATCAGTAATAAGTTTGCAAAGTGAAAATTCAAATTCATTTAACATTGAAAATATATTAAATAGTAAAAAAATTGTAATGTGGACAAAGAAAGTAATTTACATATAACAAATAGGACTTGCAACCAGTAAATTACCCCCCCCCCCCCCCCCAAAAAAAAGGTAGAAATATGTTGATAAGTACTGCAAAATCAATCATTTATCGCACATAACATGAAAATTATTACTTGAATCTTTTTGTATTTCTTAAAATCTCAGTACATGTATATTTTTTCGTGTTTGACTCATGTTTGATACCCTTCAAATAGTTTTGCTTTTACTTATATTCTTTAATTAGATCTTTGTCGTGACTTTTATTTCATAATTTAAACTTATGTTTAATGAATGCGGTCTGCTATATAAACTATAATTTAATACACTTGTTACTATATATAGTAACAAAATTGCCCATGATTTCAACTGATTATGAAGTGTCATGTGGCCGAGAACTAGTTATCAGCCCGCAGAACTAATACACGTGCACAAACTAACAATGACGTCAGATTTTACGTCATCAAACAGTTAACTGTAAAAGTGAAAGTAGGTTTTTAGCATGAATCGCTTTCAAGATTGTGAACACAGTTTTTTAACTATTTAATTTAAATAAATAATACGACAAATTCATTCCGAAAAAAAGAAAGAAAATAATACTTGCTTCTAGATTCTAGTGTACTTTGTACACATAAAAAGTAAACAACTCTGTAGAAGTAACAGTACAGTCAGTATAAGTATACAGACAGGAATTTCAACGAAAGAAATATCAAAGTATTTGTTTTAGAAAAAAGTTACTATTAGATCTACCAAGTGTATTAAAGACATTAATACACGTCATCGGTGTGCAAGAAGGTGATAATCGGCCCTGAAATGAATAATGCCCTCGGTTGAAGCCCTCGGGGCCATTATTCATTTTGCGGGCCGATTATCACCTTCCGGCCCTACTCTGCCGTGTATTAATCTCTTAATAATTTCAAAGAATAGGAAGAGCATTGTGCTCACCTTGGCGTCAGCATCAGTTAAGTTTTTACTTGTAAGTTGGTTATAATCACCAAAAACAGTTGAAGCTCCACACACTTATGTCCCATATAACTCTTAGTTACCATTTACAGTGTTATGCCCCTTTTAATTACTGTACGCCGAGCCTCCTGTCTTACTCATAGTAATAGCTGCCGTGGGTAAATAGATAAATAAGACGTACAGATTATTTCTAAACATAACATTATTTAAATTTTACATCAGATTTATGTCAATTTTTGTGAATTGAACTAATATTTTTTAAATACTAGCAAGTACTTTTTATCTCATTTTCATGTTTAATTTTTGTAACAAATTATTTGACCACTACAATTTTTTTGTTTAAATTCTTGCCAAAGTATAGGGTGAAATGTGCTGAGAAGTTGTGTAATTGAGCCAGACATTACAAATTAAGGTTCAACAGAATTTCAGTTGTTACACTTTCTAATGTAATAGGGCTGCATTTTAGTAAACGTTTTTCAGTTTTTATTGCCCTTTTAGCTTATTTTCCTTACCTTATTTGTTAGAGTTAATTTGATGGGTACTTTATGTTTAATTCTATATTTTTCATTGGTCGAATTGATTCAAATCATTCGATTAGTTTAGAACTTGTTATGAGTTATTTTTGACCAATCAATCTTATATACATATCATCGTCCATTGAATGTTATTTCGTCATCAGTTGCGTCCCTTAGACCTACAAATTTAATCAAAGGGCTGCAAGCTCTGTGGTATTTTCTGACCTTTGCAATCTAAACGTACTGTATATTCGTATGTATTTTCCTGTATAAGTTTATTTTATATACTATAATTCATCTTACAGGGCACCGAGATGCAGCGACTACATTTATATTTTTTACTATAACAGTTTGATTTTGAACATACGGAAATTTGCATGACTAAAGTTGCATCAAAAAATCATTTATGTTCTTTTTTATGACAGCCACACTTTATCCTTGCATATCGTGGCTACTTCCTTAAAAAGAAACTTAAAAAATAGTTGCCTCGACGATGATGTAAATGATTTAGCGAAAATCTTTTCGCCAAAACAGTCCGACATGTATATATATATTCCAGTACTCGACAGTCAGATTTATTTGTTTACTACTCTTTGAAGTATTCGGTAATCGATATCGCTAAAAATAGCATTTTCAGTGATTAAAATGATATTCATCCGCGTAATTTGTGATTGTGCATTTATCGACAATTCTATAAGCCAACGCTAATATTTCTTTCTTTTACATCGCTAGTTTTAAGCTGTTTTGAGAACTGCATGTTGTTAGGTTTGTCGTGAAATCTCTGTGCCAGAGATTGAATGTCAGCATTGAATTTACTGATCTGCGATCAGAAAATACAAAAACTGAGTGTAGTTTAGACGAATAAAAGCAAATGATGTTTTCTCTTTTTGATCAAAAGTTCGAGCAAAAATTTCAAGAAATGACAAGAAAACATATGGAATTCAGTAAAGAGCAAATAACTCCTCAAGATTTTACCCAAACTCTAGTAATGATAGGCCTTCAGTGAGACGCACTATGCATAACTGTAGTAACGCGTACCCCCACAACCAAGGTGTAAATCTTAAATATGGTTCTACTACAAAGACCAATTATAACTTCCAATCTAGATATCAACAAAATATGACACAGGGAAATTCTTAATAGAAACCTAATTTTAAAGACATACAGTGTACCGAGTGTCATTAAAAAGGTCGCATTAAGAGCCGTTGTTATGCCAAGAAAAACCTTTGATTCAGGGAAACTAGGTCAGACTGAGGTTGAGGCCAAAACGTCAGTCTGTAGTCAATTTTTAGGCCTATAGAAACACACATTAAGTGAACCTAGTACAATTATTCGTAATTCATTTCAAGCTAAGGGAGATAATAACTTTGCCTGAAATGACATATAGTTCAATCTTGAATCATCAAAACAAACCTAATAAGCAGTCTATTCTAGAAATTGTTATTACACCCCCTTCAAATGAAACTGTAAATGACCAAAAGCCTATTACAAGTAACTGCGAGGCACTCCAAAGCGGAAGTTAAGGGTCATAAAGTATATCGTTCTCAAAACGAAAGTGAAAGTAGGCCCTTATCTATCAAAACTGAAAGTTGTCAAACATCTGTCTCTTCAGAGCAAAACATAATCAGACAAAACTCTTAGAAAAGTGAATTAATTTCAGAACTTAAAAATGTTGACAAAACTTCTTGTTATCATGTCAAAGCAGATTTAGGCTCACATGAAGTGATACTGGAAGCCCTGTTTCTATATTGTCAAGTTCACATGCCATAACAGGCTTCAAAATAAACCCAATTAAGTCTTTACTAATATCAATTATCTACTGCTAATGGAGCAAAATTACAAATTGCTGGGAAATGTGTATTAATTAAACTTTGAAATAGAGCATATTCTTTCTCTTTTGAATTTGTTGTAGAGAAAATCGGCATATTAAGCATTGATTTCTTTGAGAATTATAATGCAAGTCTTCAAATACACAAACGTATGCTAAAAACAAGATTAGGAAAAGTAAGAGTTCAACTCTAGAATATGTACAATGGTACAGTTCACCGATTTACTTCCCAGGAAAGAATCATACTTAACAACGTAAATCGTAAAAAACAGGAGTGTGTTTAGTCCAACGCACAAGTACTGGTTTGTAGATAAAGAAGATAATGTAACAAATGAAACAAAATCCGTGGGGTTATTAGATCAATCTTATTTAATCTTTGAGAGAACCAATCAATTGCATATTCAGACAAAAATAAATATGCAAGAACTGATGACCTGGCTTTAAAGAATAAAATATCACTTTAACAGGATAAATTTATATATATTACATTTACAGAATGGATTGTAAGGAAAAATACAAGGTTTAAGTTAAGTAGTCTTTTAAAGCTTTATCTAGTACGTACTTTCTCCTTTGTACTGGTAATAGGAGATGAATATGATATACAGCATTTTACTTTAATTAATGAAATGCACAGTTGTTTGCATTGAATAATGTGTTGATACACAGAAACATAATTGATTTTGTTACCAGTTTTATAAATCATTGTGCTATAATCTTATTGAAAGTGAATAGAATACAATTAAAATACTTATATTTATTCTGTTTAAGTATACTTTCAACATGGTACATCTGAAGGATTGTCATTGATTATTATACAATTCTTGCATATGTAACTCAGACTGATTATCCCACACAAACCCTGTATGCTTGCATTTGTGGAACATCGTGGACATCCATATTCCGTCAGCTACGATGTAATACCTGTTCGATTCCTGAATGGTCTACAGAAAAAAACATTTAATTAACTAGCATGATCTACAGTGAATATATAATAATAAAAACATTAAAATAGTGTGATGTTTAGTTTGACGGACTTATTATGTTTATTGTACGTGATATTACTTTTTTGCATATGTTGACATTTGTGTTTTGACATAAATGTATATTTATGATAGACATACTTTTGTAGTTTTTATTCTAACATTTTTCCAAGTTAAATTTTTGTTTCAAAATTTGATAGTTTCTTAAGTAAGCGGGATTCTTGCATTTATGAAAAATTTAATTACTTTTCAAATTATACAGGATTTCTTGTTTTTAAGGAAGGAGGAATGTAATAAGGGCTGCATTTTAGTAAACGTTGTTCAGTTGAAATCATTCGATAAGGTATGAGTTATTTTGACCAATCTATCTTATAGTTATCATTGTCATGACTACCAAATGTGTAGAAAT